AGAAAATTAAATTTCACAGGGACCATTAAAATTCATTTTTAATTTCTCTCTTGTAATAGTTGTAAATAACTTACTAAAAGTTTTGCCTTTTTAAAATAGTGGAACTTTTTCCTACATTAATTTTAAGAGAATTTATAATAGTACTATTTTTTTATCCAGTTTCTACCCTTGCCTCATTCATTGATAATGTATTCAAGAGCTGTATTCTAACAGGCTTTGTATAATTTTTTCCACTATTGAATTATGAAAAATTTCAAACATAAAGCAAAACTGAAACAATTTTACTTTGAACATCATACATTTACTAACTAGATTTTGCCACCAACATTTTATTAAATTTGTTAATAAATCTAAATGTTACTAAATGTAGTATCTAAGTGTCTGTTCATCTTTCTGTTCCCCCATTAAATCAGTGTCATTTTGGGATGCCTTTCAGAATAAACTGTAGACATCATTACCTTTTTCCCTAAATACTTCCGCATGTGTATCATTAGCTATAGTTTAAACTTATATGTGTTTACTGTTCTATTTTAATTTAAAATTTATATACATGAAAATCATGATATAATGATTAAAGTGATATTCATAGTTTTGACATATGCATGCCTGTCACTCAAATTCCTGTCAAGACATAGAACATAAACATAACCTTAGAAAAGTTCCCCCATGCCCCGACCCAGTAGATACTCAGCTTCATCCCTCTCCCACATAGGCAGCCACTGTTCTGATTTTAAAAATACCAGTGATTAATTTTTACCTGTTCTAGAACTTCAGTATATACTTTTCTAGAAACAACACTCTGGCTGCTGTGCAGAGAGTAGATTGTAGAAAAACCAAAATAGAACAGGGATGTGATTCAGAAAGCCATTGTAGTAGCTCAGATGAGATGATGGTAGTTTGAACTAGAGTGGTAGCAATAGATGTGGTCAGATTCAGAGTAAATTTTGAAGATAGAGTTGGTAGGATTTGGTGGTGGATTGGATGTGAGTGTATGGCATTGCCAGTTCCTGAGATGGGGAAGATGAGGAGAAATAGTTTGGGGATGGGAAAAACCAAGATTTCTGTTTTGGACATACTATATTTGAAATGCTTATTAGATTAGATCTCAGGACATATGTAGGAGTCAGTATTCTGTATATCAGTGTCTTTTAATTTTTGTCATTATCAAGCTATAAGCTCATTAAACTAATTAAGGAATTATATGTATGTACAGTGGTTACATGGACTCTGATTTATTACAATCAAACTTCTGATGCCTAGAATGAACAAAACCATATATATGACAGATGGAATATTATTTTAACCAGGATTATTGTTAGTTATATGTATCACATATAACAGTATACTGCTCATATTCTATGAAAACTCTATTTTAAAAACTAATAGACTTTATACAAAAAATCCAAATTATCAGTGTATTGATTGAAGCCCACTTGTTAATATTTGTGGGACTAGTAAGACAAATAACTCACAAGTTCTGCTTTTTTTTTTGTAAGCATTTTATTTTATTTTATTATTATGTTATGTTAATCACCATACATTACATCATTAGTTTTTGATGTAGTGTTCCATGATTCATTGTTGGCATATAACACGCAGTGCTCCATTCAGTACGTGCCCTCTTTAATACCCATCACCAGGCTAACCCATCCCCCCACACCCCTCCCCTCTAGAACCCTCAGTTTGTTTCTCAGAGTCCATCGTCTCTCATGGTTCGTCTCCCCCCTCTGATTTCCCCCCCTTCATTTTTCCTTCCTGCTATCTTCTTTTTCCCACAGGTTCTGCTTCTAATGACATTTCAATAAAACAACCAATATATTGTGTACATAATCAAAAGGAATATATCTTTACATAATAAATACCCCAAAGTTGAAATAGATTGCTATAGGAATTTAACTTGGTAGAAGAGGTAGAATCTTGTCAGCACAATAATAAAAGGCTTTAAGTCAGAGGAAACTTTTTTGAGGGGCACTTTGAATTTTTATAGATAGGTTAAAAATGAGGGCAATTTTAGATGGAGATAATGGAATCAGCCAAGATGCAGAGGCAGCAGTCATGAGGATTAGGCAATGACAAATCAGCTTGTTTACCTGCAGCATAAGAAGACAATCGCACATTCATTCATTCATGAATTTATAAATGCTGAATGAATGCCTCTTCTAGGCAACGAGGCCCTAAAATAAATATTACTCATATCTTACCCTCAGAGAGCCCACAGTCTATTAGAAGAGACAGACATGTCCTGGAAGAACTAAGGGGAGAGTATATTATTCATTGCCTGGCATTAGCCAAGCACTGAATAAGACATTTTGCTTTTTTATTTTTCTTATTCAATACTCATAAAACCTTCTGAATAATAGTTCCACTATTTAGAGACTGAAGTCCACATTTTATGTCAGGACAAATGAAGAATCTAATAGATTAAATTTATAATCTTAGTAAATTGGAGAATTAAGAGTTTGTAAAAGCCCTGTGTTTTTTATTTTTAACTATGCCATATCAAATACATAAAATACACTGTAATAAGAAATGTAATAGAAGTGCACTTAAAAATCTATGGAAGAATGGAAGAAGAAGGGGAAGAAACCGTTTCTTCCTGGAGGAGCTGATAAAGTGGTAAAAAAGTGGCATTTGTGAAATGTGATGAAAATAAGAGGTGACATATGTAGGACAAAAATTCTTACCTTGGGAATTTTAACAACTGTTTTCACATAACTTAGACCCCTATTTCTTACTTCTTTCAAAACCCATCTTTCTCCAAGTCCCTTGCCCTTGGAGGGCAGACTCTTATTTTACTTGAAAGAGGCTACTGTGATTAAGGAAGGGTGAGATGGGGGGAAAAGACAGGGAGGAAACAGCAGGAAGACTGGGTTTTAGGAAGTGGCTGAAGGAGATACCCCAAAGCAGTTGTGGGCTGTAATGCAAATGGACCTTTTATTAGATTGCTGTGGTATTGGAAGTTTTTAGGAAACCCGAATAGGGGATGTTAAAAGTACTTTATTTATTTATTTAATTACGTTATGTTAATCACTATACATTACATCATTAGTTTTTGATGTAGTGTTCCATGATTCATTGTGCATAACACCCAGTGCTCCATGCAGTACGTGCCCTCCTTAATACCCATCCCCTTTAGATTGTTGGATTCTGTTTCTTTGTTAAGAATGAACTATGTGGATTCCAGGTTGTAATAATACTTCTAATAGTAATAATAGAAGGCAGGCAATGGTTGGATTCTTTCTTTCTTTGGCTTTTTATTGAAAGTGTATTGATGTATTTTCACAAACAACATATCACTCAAGGTGGTTGTATATTGGGCTTCAGTATTTCTAAATCTTTGCTGGTGAGGAAGCACTGTTTTTAAAAAAAAAATTCCTGAAGTTCTTTCCTGTAGCTCTAAGAGTAGAATCTGCAGTCTGCTTTTGGGGTAAGCTCACTCTCCATTTTGAGAAGGACCATGCTGAGGAATGCTTTGAGTAACACATCCATTCATTTTTATCGAGAGAACTCCTGATTCTTATGGAGGAAGGAAATCAATAGAAACTATCAGTCTTGTAGCAGGACAGGAACTAAAGATGAAAATTGACTTTGGAGGGCCCATATGAAGGGGGATGGCTAATAGATACCAAGAACAGTAATATTTAATACTGCTTTATTTTTCATAGTGATCATGGTCCCTTTATGTTATTTTCAAGTCTAAATAAAGGTATGAAACATAGTGGTCTTTTTGAATGTGGATATTTAGGAGATTTATGTTTATTCTTTGTGGGCAAAATGTATTGTTGAGAGCTTAAACAACACAGAGGTATGCAAGAGGTATGCATACGTCACCTCTTATTTTCATCATGTTTCACAAATGCCACTTTTTTACCACTTTATCCAGAGAGGAATGATAAAGAAATTTAGAATAGTCTGACATAAAATGAAAACCACAAACTAGGAAAATGTAAACACTCCTCAGAAATTATTGGGTAGGTGACTGGAATGCCTGTAGGCACACAGAATAGAAATTAGATTATTTAGTTGTTAAAGGAAGGAGAGAGCCCCTGAAGGCTGGAGAACTTGGGACCACTTAGGGAACATATCCTCATGTAATTAGCCTCAAAAATATAAGTGGAAAGAGGGAATACAAAGAAATGCTTTAGTTAAGACTCTAGGATTGTAAGTGATGAAAATCCAACTCAAAATTGGTTTTTTATAAAAAGGTAATTTATGGACTGGTATAGCTAAGAAGAATAATTGTGAACTGATGTTAGGTACAACTGGATCAAAGACTTAAAATAGTAGGATCACACAACACATTCTCCCTCCTTCTCTCAACACCTCTTTGCCTCTCAGATAGGCTCCCTGCTCTTATCGACAGAGATTGGCCCAGGTTCACATTTTACCAGTTTAGTAATCTCAGCAGGAAGAGTGCCTCTTAGACTGAGACAGCATTCTTGGATTGAGTTTGATTAGCCAGGCAGACCTCACCTGCTATGCTAAATGAATCACTGTAACTAGAGGGATTTGCTTTAATGAGAAAGAGAGAGAGAGAGAGAGGAGAGAGAGATTTATTTTGAGGAAAAGACATGTGCCCTGTATGGGACCAAATGGCAGAGCTGCATACAACTAGAAATTGCAGACTTGACACTATTCAGAAGGCTCACATGAGAATTCTGTGTTGAAAAGAATGTAAGTCCTGTATTTGGACTTACGAGCAGATAAGTTCTTTTTTTTTTAAAGATTTTATTTATTCACTTGAGACACAGAGATACAGAGAGAGAGAGTGAACGTGAGCAGGGGGAGAGGCACGGGGAGAGGGAGAAGAAGGCTCCCTGCTGAGCCAGGAGCCCAATGTGGGACTTGATCCCAGGACCCTGGGATCATGACCTGAGCTGAAGGCAGACGCTTAACCAGAGCAGATAAGTTCTCTTAACACTGGGTTCGGTGACTTCATCTGTGAACACAAAAGGTCTGATCTGGTCTCACACTGAGGATATCACATGCCTGAAGACCTTTTATATTTTCCACAGATGCAGATATCTGCTCAGGACTTTCTTCACAGCTTGTTTCACCTCCTTATTCCTCAAGCTGTAGATGATGGGGTTCAACATCGGGGTTACCACTCCATAAGACAGTCCAATGATTTCATCAGATACTTTGGTGTCCTTTGACTTGGGCTTCATGTACATAAAAAGGGCTGAACCATAGAATAAGATAACCACAGTCAGGTGGGCTGAGCAGGTAGAAAAAGCTTTCTTTCTCCCCTTAGCAGAATTAATTCTAAGGATGGAACGGAGGATAAAAACATAGGAGATGAAAATTAACAGCAGAGGAATCACCAATAAAACAGTACTTGCCACTGTCATGATAAGCACATTCATGGAAATATCTGAGCAAATGAGTTTAAGAAGGGCCAGGATCTCACAGTAAAGATGGTCGATGACATTATTCCCACAGAAAGGTAACACCATTGTCAGGACTGTTTGCACTAAGGAATTCAGACAGCCTATGATCCAGGACCAGGCAGCCATGTGCACATAAAGCACTCTGCTCATGATGATGGGGTACCTCAGTGGGTTGCAGATGGCCACATACGGGTCATAGGCCATCACGGCCAAGAGGACACACTCAGTGCAACCCAACCCAAGGGAGACAACCATCTGCAGAGCACAGCCAATGAAGGAGATGGATTTTCTCTCAGAGCTAAATATGATGAGCATCGGAGGAATGGACGATGATGTGTAACAGATGTCCAGGAATGAGAGGTTTCCAAGGAAGAAGTACATGGGGGTGTGGAGACGAGAATCCAGTATGCTGATGATAATGAGGAGGCTATTTCCCAGCAGAATTATCACATACGTGATGAGGCAGATCATAAACAGAAAAAGGTGGAGCTCTGGGTATCGGGAAAGTCCCACCAGAAAGAATTCAGTCACAGCTGAATAAATCCCCATCTTCATGTGTCCGTGTCACCTTAAGGGTTGAGAAAAGGACATGACTCAGGAAATACAAATTTCTGATGTAGATTTATCAAATCACTTTCACTTCTGTTACTTTATTCTTTGCCTCTGGAATCAGCAAGGATAGGGATATTGTATTAATTTTACTAATGATGGAACAGGAACTGAGAGATCAGTGCTACTGAGGCTCACACGACTGCGAAAACTAAGAATTGTGCTGGAAAGTTTCAGGCCTCTAATGAAAAAAATTTAGGGACAGACTGCTTTCAAATGTAGATACCTAAGAATCTCTTTATTAAAGAATATTTTGAAATGTAACTGCATTTTAATAAAGCTGGATATAATTTGAAATATCATACATATTTAGTATCATGACACTTGTCCTCAGTATGACTATTTTAAGTTACTTAACTGTTTGAGGCTCAGCTACTCTCAACTAGTGAAATTGGGGGTAGAGGGCAGGGAAGCTATAGCTCTTTGGCAGTTTATTGTGAGAATTAAATTAAATTACATAACTATAAAGTAGCATGCATATTAGGTGGTTCCAATATGTCTGGTAAGAGTCTGGAAATCAGGGCCTGGAATCTGTCCTCCTGTCCTCCAAAGTCACTTGCTTTTCTTCCTAATTTCTGTAGTTTTTCAGTGCTCTGTTTTTTCTTTCTTTCTTTACCATTTACCTCTTAGATGCATATTTTTTTGTTTTTCTAGGTAAGTTCATATCATTTTATGAGTACTTTAATATGTACTTTTTCTCATTTTTTGTATTTGATATTTGGAATGAATATCCAGGTCTCCTATTTTAATTTTTGGCAGTGAGACTCTCATATGGACTGAACTGATAATGGCTAATTTCTATTGCACTTTGTTGTAAGCACATTACACTGTTGAATGTATTAACTCATTTAATCCTCAGTATTACTCTAGATAACATTCTTTACTCCTAATTTTCAAGGGGAGGAAACAGAGACAGAAGTTTAAGTAATTTTCACAAAATCACAGAGATAATAAATGCTAAACACAGAATCCAAAATCCTGTTGTCTAGCTCCAAAGTCAGCCCTGCCTACTAATTATAACATAAAAATCTAGACTGCATGGCATACTCAAAAGAAAAAATAATGCTTTGAAATTTGAAACTTTGGATCAGAGGCATAAAATTTTATTCAGTAATCCCGTCATCGCTAATATCAGTAGTCTTCATAATATTGACCAAAGTCTGATTCCCTTTTAGAAACAATCTTATGCTTTTAATGTATATATTCAATTGAATCCTTATTAAAATGCTACCACTGTTTATGTTATCTCTAATCTTTAATTTCTGATATTTATAGTCATTATTCCTTCCACATCTGGTGTGAAAATATCAGTAGCATAAGAAAAAAAGTTCATTTTTCAGCCAGCTTATACTTTACATTGTTTGAGTTGAACTTCAACCTCTTAATATTTATTAAGGTTTCAGATCAGAAATCACTCTGGGAAATGTGGGTGTTTATACAACTTGGTCGTTTTAAGAATGTTACAGTGTTTAGCAGTGTTAGAAGATTTAGAGATTTTTCTTGTGGATGTATAGCAGAGTTCTCAGCGGTGGTGATTTTGCCCATTTCGGGCCTGTGGTAGATTCTGGAGACACTGTTGGTTGTCACACATGAGACGGCGGGGGAGGGAGGGCAGTGCTGCTGGCATCTAGTGTGTAGAAGCAAGGGGTACTACTAAACGTCCTATAATGCACAGGATAGCTTCCCACAATGGGGCATTATCCAGCCCAAAATATAAGTAGTGCCAAGATTGAGAAACTTTGGTATAGAGGAATGCCATTTTCAAAAACCTCTTCATGGACTTAAGGGTATGGAAGACAGGGAATTAAAGAGTAAAGGCTGTAGAACCAAATTCCTTTTGTTAGGGTCTATATAATCTGACATGCCCTGGAGAACTAGTAGTCCCTTAGAAATAGCTAAAAACAGGAGAAAGAATCATGCAGACAAAACATTCTGCCAAAGAAGTTTGCTGTTTTCCTTTTTTCTCATTATCTTTGACTTTGATTTTTATAAATTTCTGATACATTTCTTTTCTTCCCTGTCCTTTCCTTCTATCCATTCCCCAGGAATAACAATTAAAACTGACTACAGATCATATAGAAAATTAAGTTTCACAGGGACCATTAAAACTTATTTTAAATTTCTCCCTTGTAGGAGTTATGAATAACCTTCTAACAAATTTTGCCTTTTTAAAGTAGTATTACTTTTTCCTAAATGAAATTTAAGGGAATCTATAAGGACATCATGTTTAATTTGTTCTCTATCTTTGACTCAGTAGGAGTCTATATTGTATCATTTATTCAAGAGCTATGCCCCTGATAAGTTTTGTGTAAAATTTTTCCAACATTTTGTTATGAAAATTTTCAACCATAAAGGAGGATTAAAAGAATTTTAAGGTGAACACTCATTTATTCACTGACTAGATACTACCATTAAGATTTTACTGTACTTGGTTACCATATCTGTGATCTATCCTCTGTATTCCTCAATCTATCTTACATTTTATGCATTCCTTTTTTTTTTTAAGATTTTATTTATTTCATCATGAGAAACAGAGAGAGAGAGAGAGGCAGAGGCAGAAGGAGAAGCAGGCTCCTTGCTGAGCAAGGAGCCCGATGTGGGACTCAATCCCAGGACCCTGGGATCATGACCTGGGCTGAAGGTAGATACTTAACTGACTGAGCCACCCAGGTGCCCCTCATTTTATGCATTTCAAAGCACTTTGCAGACTTCAATACACTTCTCCCTCAGTATGCATATCATTAATGAGAGTTTTAAACTAGAATTAAGTGTTTAATTGCAGTTTTTATTTTTATTTAAAATTTATATAAACACACAAACAAGTAAAATGTACTGTTTTGACAAATGCATACACCCGTGTCATCTAAACTCCTATCAAGATATAGAACATTTTCATAAGCTTAGAAGAGTTCCCCAATGCCTCTTCCAGTCTTTCCCTGTCTCAACTCTCCCAATGTAGCTACCTTTCTGATATTTTAATACCATCGATTAGTTTTACCTTTATTAGAACTTTAGTATGTACTCTTTATTGTTTAAAGTAAAATCCTTTTTTCTCCCCTGGGTTTTCAATTAGTTTGCACATTCAAATAGGTTTACATAATTAATGTATAAAACATGAGAGCTTGGAGATAAGTATACAGTCATAAAACCTTCATTACAATGTATGCCACAAACCTATCCATCACCTCCAAAAGTTTCTGCCTACCCTCTTATTTATTATTATTATTTTGCAGTAAGAACACTTAAGTGTTAAGTATACAATAATTAAAAAAAAATTAAAGTATACAATAATTTAAAGTGTTGTACCATGTTATACAGTAGGTCCCTAGAACTTATTCATCTTGTCTAACCAAAACTTTGTACCCTTTGACTAATACCTCCCTGATTTCCTCTCTCTCCAGCCCTTGGTAACCACCATCTCTTTCTCAGCTTCTGACTTTGACTATGTCCTCTATAACTAGATGGAGGAGGATATGAGGCAAAAGGATATAGTAATTAGGATTTATATGGATGTAAGTGCTAAAATCTAAGTAGAATTAGTCTTGCACAAAATACTAATTTGATTCATATAAATAAATTGTACAGAGGGGAATCTGATTTTAGTCATCGTTGGTTTCAGGAGTTAGAATGGCATCCTCAGGCACATTCTCTATCTCAGCTCCACTTTCTTTCTCAGTCTCTCCCACATATTGACAGGGAAGGCCAGGAGGAGCTCTAGGTTTATATTCCACCCATTTAGAGATCATTACAGAAAGAATAACTTTTTTTCTGACACCAGGGCAGCACTTTTAGGATTGTATCTTATTAGCCTGATTCAGGTCACTTGCTAAACCATACCAATCACTATGATTAAAGGAATAAACTTAAAAAAAGTTAGTCTTTGGCAAGTCCTGTTTCCATGCTTACCCCTGTTTTCAGAGGGTTGGGACATTCCCACCCTGTACAACATGGACTGAGAATTGGGGACTGTTGGTGTCTCAAAAGAAAAATATACATAATTTTTCTACATATTATACAGGTCTACAAATTGTGTAGCATTACTATGCATAACGAAAACAACAGATATCCACTTCAAAGACACTGAGAAAGGAGAGAAAGAAAAGAGAAGGAAGGAGAAGGGAAATTATATGGAAGAGAGAGAAGAGAGGAAGTGAGAAAACACAAGGGAGTAGAGAGAGAGAGACAGTGATTGAGAGAGATTGAGGTTGAGAGATTGATTCATTTTGATTAACAGCATCATAACCTTCATGGGAGCAATTAGCAGACCTGCTTAGAGCTGGAAACCCAGCAGATAGGCACTATTTAGAAGATTTACATGAGTACTTTATGTTGAAAAGAATGGGAGTCCCATATTTGATTTTGTAAACATAACAAGCTATCATGACAGTAGGTTTTATAGATTCATCTTTGAATACAAAGGACAAGATCTGGAGACTAGCGGGGAGGAGTCCAAGATGGCAGAGGAGTAGGAGACCAGTTTCGTCTTGTCCCAGGAATTCAGCTAGATAGCTACCAAATCATTCTGAACACATGCAGCTTCAACTGGAGATTTAAGAAAAGAATAGCTGCAACTCTACAAATAGAAAAGTGACCACTTTCTGTAAGAGGAGGTGCGGAGATGTGAATCCGAGGTGATACATGGGAAGATAAACCTGGCCGGGGGGTGGGTGGGTGGTGGTGGTGGGGGGGAGCCTCTGTAAACCAGCTACCGGACAGTGATATAGCAGCAAAGCACAAATCAGAACTTTTAGAAGTTGGCTCTGCCTGAAAGGGGCTCAGGTGGTGAAGCAAGGGTGGAATCCTAGATGGGACCGTGTGGTCTCAGGATTCTTGGGGTCATAGGAAGACTGGGGGAGCCTGAGTGTGGCAGAGTTCCCAGGCAAGCCGGCTGCAATCAGCAAGCCCAGGAGAGGGCTCTCAGCTCGGGGTTGCCATATACTGTGAAC